GCCGCGGATGTGCTCCTCTAGCATGTCCTGGAGAGCCGGGTTGAATCTTGATAGACCGTAGTCCTCAGTATTTGGAGGTGGGGCCGCTTTCGGTGGGAAGAGTGGTGGCTGTGCATCTCTTTTCTCTTTCAGTTGCCTGGCGACTCGCGCACCAAGAAGATCGAGGTTACGAATAACGTCACCGTCAGGGGGTGGCAGTTGTGCGTGGAAGAGGAGCTTCTGGAGGTCGGCTGGTAGTATTCCGTTCTTAAAGATTACGTAGAGCGCGATAAGGCGTAGCCGGTCAGCTGGCGTTATCTCTTCATCGTCCAATGTGCGCACAATCTGGTCAGTCATGTTCTTGGGCTTACGGTAGTCTTCGTCAAGACCGGTAGCAAGGCACTGGAAAGGTTAGCGACAGCCATGGGCCAACCTTGATGGAACTCACCTGTTCCACTGAAGCAAGATCCGGTAGTTTGTGCTTCTGGAAGATTTCCATGCACTTCTGCGCCATGGTGAGATGTAGCGAGTAGGCTTCCTTCATCTCCTGGAATTGGGGCAAACCAGCGATCATATCCTTGATTGCATTCAGTCCATTCATGCCAGCAGCGTTCTGGGCGTCTTGGTTTGTGAAATGGGGATTGTCGGCGATGAACTTTTGGAAGTCGCTGATCAGCTTGTCGAGAGTGTCCTTCATGTGCCGGTGGCGGTTTTCCACCCATATCTTGTCCTTGTCGGATATCTCCATGTCTTTCTCCTCCGCCTCGGGGTCCTCTTCGTTGACAATGGTGCGGTAGGTCACCTTGTCGCTGTCTTGTATAGGCAACAGATCCATGGCCATTGCTTGGTATGTGAACTCGTGGAGGAAGGGTGCCATGAGGTCCATTGATCGATCGGTGATGTAGAGGGCACCGCGGGGTCGGTTCGATTGCGGGGGGAAGTCTTGGTTGAACTGCGCGTACATGTCGAGCTTGTCTTGGACGAAGCGGGCGAGGTGTGAGCACAAGACGCTGGCCTCGTGGGTGGGAGCTCGCGGTCGGTAGTATCGGATGATGGGGTATTCGCCGAGTGCGACGCAGATTCCGGTGATCTAGGGCTGTCAGCAGAAGCTTGCCAGGAGAGGTAGACTACCCACTCTTTCCGCAATATCCTCCATGTGGCGCACTACGAGGTTGTTGCACTCGGGGTGGTAGAGGATGGGGAAGCTCCATGGGTCTTTGAAGGTGACGAGGTGCGACTCCTGGGGGTGGAAGTCGAGGTGCACTGTGCGGAAGCTCCGAATCTGCTCGCGCGCCATCTGCGACCGGTCTATGCGCTCCTTGAGGTGTGGTGGCAGCAGTGTTGTCCATATCAGAAAGAAGCCGCGGTATCTGCGCTGGTCGAACTCGGCCATCATGCAGTCGACAATGTGTGGCTTGGGCGTGATGATGTACACGGCGTCCATGTCGCGGATCGTCTGCCGCCGGTCCTCGATGCGCTCGATGTCTGCGAGGTTAGGAACTGGCGTCTTGAGAGCGTGCGGAGTCGCGTACTTGTGATGTTGAGGTTGAGGATGTCATCTTCCTTGACCACGTTGTTGATGAGCTTCTGGCTGTCCTCGTCCACAATGAGTATCTTCCACTGCGCGGTAGCCGTTAGCGGAGTGCAGGCGCATTGGGGGGAGCTTCATACGTCGCCGCGCGTCGTCTGCTTGATCGAGTTGAGAATGACTATGTGGTCGATCAGCACGTGTTCCTCAGGAGTTTCGAGGTGTGTCTTTACGGTCGCGCTGGATATCGATCATGGAAGCCATGTTGGCGGGGTATCGCAGCGAATGCCGCTGGGAAAAGGCGAGGCGGTGGAAGCGGCAGCGGTAACGTGATGCGCAGACGAGGGCGTGTGTGGGCCAGCACTGTCGGGGCGAGGCACACGTGGTGCTGGGCTGTCGCGGCGGTGGTGAGGAAGGCGCGTCTCAGCTAGAGTTGCGTCGCGAGCTGCGGCGGGCAGGCGCCGCCGGAGGTCCCTACTGTACTACGGTGGTAGATGCTTGGCAACTTTTTATTCGGCATTACGTCGTCGACTTGGACATTCCTGTCGTCCTTCGTTTGTACAGGCGCCTGGCGCTTTGGATTCTGTCTTTTCTTCTTTCCTCTCCCGCATGATACCCACCATTGGCATGCCTCTGCTGCCGGCGCGACGGAGTTCGCTATGTCTCATCTGCTCTTTCGCCGCCCGCTCTCGATCGCGAACCCAAAACCTCCTGCCCCGAATCCAAGCCGCACACCGTTCCGCTCCAGCCAAGCCCTCGAAGACGACGCATTTCAATCCTCTCCAGCAGGGTAAACTTGCAAAAGGAGGCGATTCCAGATCTTCCAAGTCGTCAATACCCATAGGCATAGTCCGCGACAAACTAGACATCCTGCACAAGGAATTCGCCACGCCAGAATTTCTCGACAGACTCCAAATAAGCCGCGAAGACTTCGACAAGGAATGGACGACCTTCGAGCGGTCCATCACCCTATGGATCAAGCAGGCCCCGCGTGAGTTGGTCACGTTGGTGCAGGAGGCCCAGCGGAGAAAGAACACACTTGAGAAGAGGCTACGATATCTGTTTTATGCGCAAGCATGTGGTGGCCGCTTCACGACGGCCGAGGCGGAGAATCAGAAGGAGGTGGCGGACCTGCGCTACCCAGCCGAATGGTATCCAGCGACGCGGGAGATTACGCGGACAGTACACATGCACGTTGGGCCGACCAACTCTGGCAAGACGTACCACGCCCTGAAGCGTCTGGAGGAAGTCAACTCGGGCATCTACCTCGGTCCGCTGCGCCTCCTCGCCCATGAGGTCTACACGCGCCTGAATGCAAAGGGCAAGCCATGCGCTCTGGTTACGGGTGAAGAACAGCGCTTGCCCGAGGACACACACGCCAACATGTACAGTTGTACTGTGGAAATGGCCCCGCTCAATACCAGATTTGATGTGGCTGTCATCGACGAGATACAGATGATCAACCACCAGGAACGGGGCTGGGCATGGACACAGGCTTTCATGGGTCTACAGGCCAAAGAAATTCATCTCTGCGGAGAAGCACGCACAGTACCACTGATGCGCGAGCTTTGCGCTCTCGTTGGCGATAAAGTGCACGTACACGAGTACGAGCGTCTGACGCCACTTCAGATCCAGCCGAAGAGTCTGGGAGGCAACCTCACACTCCTTGAAAAGGGTGATTGCATCGTTGCTTTCACCGTCCTCGGTATCCATGCGCTGCGACGCGAGGTGGAGAAGAAGACGGGCAAGAAGTGCGCTATCGTATACGGAGGCTTGCCACCTGAGACAAGAGCTCAACAAGCCCGCCTATTCAACGACCCAGACAATGACTACGACTACCTCGTGGCGAGTGATGCCATCGGCATGGGTCTCAACCTGTAAGCAGTGTGTCATGTTGACTTTCAATACCTGGATGCTAACCAATGAAGTGCTATCAAGCGTGTCATTTTCGAATCTACTATCAAGAGTAACGGCCTGAACTACGTACCCCTGCAGATCTCCGAGATCAAACAGATCGCCGGCCGTGCTGGGCGCTACAAAACTGCTCAGCAAGCAGTCACTACAGACTCCGAACAGGCTTCGATTGTTGACGGCGCCGTTGACCCCGCCATTGGCCTAGACGACAAGCAACCCGATACTGTCGAGGCAAAGAAACCTGAAGAGAAGACTATAGGATGGGTCACTACACTCGACCAAGTCGACCACGCGGCCTTGAAATTGGGCATGAAGCGTGAGCCCGAACACATCAGCACAGCCGGCCTCTTCCCGCCGTCGCTCATCGTTGAGCGATTCGCCAACTACTTCCCCCCGGGAACACCTTTCGGATACATTATGCTACGTCTACATGAGATCTCTGAGCTACACCCTCGGTTCCATCTCTGTGCACTAAAAGACCAGCTGGCGATTGCTGACGCCATTCACATGGTGAAAAACCTCAGCATTCAAGACCGTATCATGTTATGTGCCGCACCCATCAACATGCGCCAACCGTCCCAGAAAGCGTTTCTGCGCCACCTCGCTGAATGCATTGCTGAAGGCAAGTCGGGTAGCCTGTTGGATCTTGACACTCTGCCACTCAGCGTCATGGACCGGCCCGCGTCTGTAGAACGCAAGTATCTCCACGATCTGGAGGAACTACACAAGATGCTGGTATGCTATCTATGGCTGAGTTACCGATTTCCCAATGTCTTCACCACCAGAGCCCTTGCCAACCACACAAAGAAACTCGTTGAGGATCAGATCGAGAAAACGCTCAACGACTTCTCGTTCATCGAGCAAGCGAGGAAGCGGATGAAGACTACCAGAAAACAAGCAAGAAGATCGATGGTATCAGAGCCTGAGGAAACCGGTGAAGTCGACGGCCCCCAGGTCGAGGCTTTGAAGCGTCACATTTCTGTACCGCCGGGCATGCCAGAGGAAGCGAAGGACATTCTCACCGATCCGCGACTGGCTTCCGATGAGCCCGCAACTACGGACGATGTAAACGAATACCCTGATGATCTACCAGTCACCAAGCTGGATTCTCTCGCAGCCGAACACCAGGAGCGAACTGCCAAGCTCTCAAACGAAGTCAACAACCTTCTCAAAAGCCGAGCACAGTATGCGACTGACTCTAGCGAAGCCGTAAGTTCCGTGAACTAGACGAGCTCTGTATGAATGCATGTATCAAGGATTGTAAATTTGGGGTAGAGTTGTATATATTCTCCTACATACGTCATGTCCATTGTAACATAGCAGCCAAGACCATGATATAGGTTGGCTTGCAGAATTACGATGAGACGTTAGAAAGTTAGACATGTACTATACCAACGAATTGATGCCAGCTTTGTTGACCGGGCGACCGATAGCATGAAGAAGGCCGACTCTTATGATTTTTTGCCCAAACACCGAGTGTGAACTATTACCCATCGTTCTTCTTGAGTTACGAGACATATTCTCACATAGACCTTGGAAGCACAGAACAAGAAGATAACCCCCTCCCATCCACAATCATCTACGAACTCCCACCAACCCACTCAGCCCCTCCATTCGCCGCAATCACACTCCCAGTAACCCACCTACTCTTCTCACTAACCAGAAACCCCACAACATCCGCCACATCCTCCGCCTGGCCCATCCTCCCCCCTTCCATAACCTTGACCTTCGGCAACCGCTGCTCTTTCAATGCCTGCACGGCTTCGGCTGGAAAGGCGCGCAGTCCAGGTGTATCTGTCAACCCCACCGACACAGCATTTACTGTTGTGCCAGGAGAGTTGTGCGGCAACTCGATCGCCCATGATCTCACTAGCGATTCCATAGCCGCGCGCGTTGCGTTGAACAATCCAGATCCGGGAGATGGGTCCCGTACGCGGTCGGAAGAAATGACTACGACGCGGCTATTCCACGCAAACCAACCTTGTCTGACCAAGTTTTCCATGAGCATGATTGGCCAGTGCAAATTGCCCGTCAACGAGTCGGTGATGTCATCTTCGCTTGCGCTGCCTACTCTGGGGCGTGCATTGTGTGAGGCATTCAACACGAGTATGCTGGGTTGTACGCCAGAAAAGTGATCATGTAGCGCTGTGAGGAGAGTGTCGACAGAGGAGAGAGATGTTATGTCTGCAGCTACGCCTCGCATAGTCGGAGCTTTGCTTTCGGCGGCAGCGTAGAGGTCGCGAACAGTGCTTGTGAGAGTATCGAAGATATGGGCGGATTGGGGGGATGAATAGGTTCCTAGGATGGAACAGCCGCGGGTTGCGAGGGAGAGGGATATAGCGCGGCCTATGCCTTTTGATGCGCCGCTTAAGGTTTGTTAGAATTTGGGGGTGTGGGTGGTTGGGGGGGTTTGGTGGAGGGCAGGCTGGTATAGGAAGCTGATAGAATGCGTGATGCAACATGGGTTCATCATGAAATAGAATAAAGTGCCAACTAATTTGATCCCCTTGAAATGGTATTGGCGGCATCGTTGAAGAAAGTGAAGCCTTACGTGACAATGGCAACTTTGCCCTTGAGATCCTGCTCCTGTAGCGCTGGCGCTGGAGGTTGGTAGTCTGCCATGTTGGGGCTGATCGACGAAATATGGGTATATATAAAGGTCAGTGTTGAGTACAGACCTGAAAGGGATTCAATTTATAGTGCATTCCACGGTTGACAGTATGCAATGTTGTGTGACATGTACGTGCTGGAGAGGTGTGAGGGCTGAATCTCAAGCTACGTCATCGTACCAAGGTAGAAGCTAAGGACTTGCTACAACGAGCGGTACGAAGAAGCCCAGTTTCTGTAGTCGTATCCCAAGTGAGTCGCACGTCTCTGTTCGCCTCCCTACTGTACCAACATTCCAGAATTAAGTCGGAATTTGGCTGGTTCGTCACCCTGGCTCTTGAGAGATTAACCAGGGCGAACTGATGTTTTTGAAGTTCCCAAAGTCATCTTCAAGGAACTCGGAATGTGTAATTGATGGCAGTATACACGTGGGCTGACTGGGGATCGGAACATGGTGGGCAAAGTATGTACATTGGGCTGTGATAGTAAGCGTGGAAGGCGCGCCGCGTGATGTTGTCGCAGATGCGTCATAGCTGGCGCAAGACTCGGCGAGACTCGAAATAGTAGGCGCGACACCAGCAACAATGAAACCTAAAGGAGATATGGAATTCTAACGCAGATGCAATGCATCCAGTGTGAATGAAGTCTGCGCGAATCATGGTACAAAGCATATCCATGGATGAAGGGATTGCACGACCACGACTCGCACGTATTGAAAGGGGCGCTAAATCTCCCGGGCCTTCCGCGTTGCTTGCGCCTTGCAACAACGAACATCGTCACCCAAACTCTTTCACTCCCATCGTCATCTCCCTATAATAGCCACGATGAATATCCTCGATATCCCACGTCCCACGGTAAGTGAATCTGAACCTTAAAATGGACAGGACTGACCCGCGCGCAGACGTTCCTCCAGAAGATGTCTCTTCGGACGGGGGCCGAGATCATTACTTACCTCCAAGTCATAAACAAGGCGTCGGGAGTCTACGGCCTCCTTGCGCTTCTTACCGGCGCGAAGATCGATGGCTTCCAGCTGTCCATGTACCTCTACTCGACCGTCGCACTCCTCGCTACCACATTCCTGTACAAGCACATCCGGTTACAAAGTCCCTTTGAGTCGGTATTGCTGGCGCACCTGTATGCGCTCGACTCGGTCATCAACGCGTTATACACAGCCTTCTTCGGCATCGCGTGGTTCTACACGCTCGCCGCGCACCCAGACGAGAATGCCGGACTATCGCCGGGCATGAAGGACAACGCGGGTTTCACCAGCCCCAAGCACAACGTCACACAGGTCGATATCATCGCGGAGCCCACCGACGGCCTGAAATCTGGTCAGAACGCCGTAGCAGTTGGACAGGGCGGAGATGCTGGCGCCGGGCTGGGCAACGCCGTCTTCCAAAGCGGCAGCATTATGAGCATCTCGCTGATCTCTGGCTTCTGGGCTCTTCGCGTCTACTTCGTCTTTATTATGCTGGCTTTCGCGCGCCAGTGCCTCCGCCAACACATCGCCGCAAACGCCTCCTCCGCCGCATGGTACAACTCGAACAACATGCAGACGTCCGCCAACGACCTTGCCGAGAACCCGTTCGCAGAGGGCAAAGAAGAGGGAAGCGGCTGGAAGGGGCAACTCGGACGCGTCATGCTCAGCGGTGCGCCCAAGTACTGGCTCGGTGCTGATGCCGGCGAGGGCGAGGACTGGATGCGCAGCCTGGGTGGCAAATTCAAGAAGACCGCACAACTAGACCAGCCTGTTGGTTTCAACGAGCGCGAGCGGAGGCGGAGAGCTGGAACTGGCCCACCAGTACCTCAGCTTAAGCTGAACCCTGAGCTGCCCAAGTAGGCTGCGTCTGAGGCGCGTTCCTGGCCTACTAGGCTTTGTGGACTAGGGGAGGGGATGATTTATGACAGCCAGAAGTTGTAATGACATGACCTAGGGTTGCGCATTCTCGAATTAGAAGCGCACGTGTACCATATACATATATCATTTTGGCGTACATCAGACGGGCGGAATCGCACGATAGCGAAGCTCGTCAGATCTACCACTATTTTCGCGTAGCATAGCGTTTACCATTCGCAAATTAATTTCTTCACCACAAGGAAGAACAGCAACAACATTCTCTCGCCCGACGTGCTCCTAAGCTCTGACTCATCTGGTCCCAAATCTTACGCGTTCCAAGATTGTGAGGCAGGCGTGGCGGCGCAGTCAGGGCGCTTAGCAGCGTCCACCGGGTCACCCCACCACACACGTTGCACCTAGCCCCACCTCGGTTAGCCCAAGCACATCAGGTGAATGACGGCTGTCTCACCTACACCGCCGGATACGTCTGCTGGACCCTGACAACGGCAAAGTGGTAGGCATGTGCCTGGACTCGAGGTGCCATGTGCGTTGCGTGCCACTGTCAGGCCCCGTTAGAAACCGCGGCTGGATGACATGTCGTGCATTGGCGGCCGGAGGCCAGGCGCACTGATAAGGGGATGCAGTGGCCGCGCGCGAGACGGCGTCGAGCTTGCAACGGCTATGTCGGTACCTTTCTTGATGTGTTGTTGACTAGTCCTTGTTTCTAAATTATACGTTGGCAGTGTTGACTTATAGCGTCTGTTGCCCCTTTGTGGTACTCTTATATTGGTCTCAGCCTCGAAATTCCGTAGCCTCATAACGACCACACGCGTAGTGAAGAGATAGATCAAGACGCAGGCATGAACATCTTTCGTCGATCTATGAGCTTCGGCTCCTCACACTCATCACGCCCTTCGACCATCGACTCGGCATCCGATACCGCAAGCTCTAGAACGAGTATAGATTCCACCTTTGAAGAGTACGAGATTACAGACTCCCTGGCTACAATCAAACCCTTACCACCGTCGTCGAAAGCTCCAGTACTTACTCTCCCACTCGAGCTGATCCAACAAGTCAACACCTATCTCGACACTGCCTCCGCAGCAGCCTTCTGTCTATCCGGGCGATACATCTACTACGCTCTCGGCACCGAAGTTCTGTCTCGCCATGTCAAGGGAAGCAAGAACCGATTTGAGAAGAGGAAGATTATCGAGGCGGTAGTAGAGCGCGCCTTTCCCGGTCATTGGTTCTGCGGCTGGTGTGACAAATTCCATGCCTGGGCCGCAGAAGACGGGCCAAAGAACCAGCAATATTCAAGAAAGAGAAGAGATTGTGCCGACTACAACAGCTACTTGGACGCTGGAGACGGTTATAAACTACGCTTTCATCACGTTCGACTTGCCATCAACCGCGCGTCACGGGGAGACGAACACGGCATTGCCCTATCTGCGTTTACCCATGAGAAGAAAGACATGGCACGCATCTCCAGAACGCCTGTACCGACTAAACTCACTGTATCCGCCAGGATAGTCAACGGGCGATTCCTGTTACACAGTTCCTATGCCATCGTATTACCCGCCTTCACGACGCGTAATCGCAACCTCCTAAAGTCGCTCTGGCCTCTCCTTCCACATATTGTCACAGGCCACCGCGACACTCCAAACGGCCACACAGGTATCATGGCCGCCATCGACAATGTCATCCGCCGAGGCTGGAAGTACCAGTTCACGCAGAACTGCTCCACTTGTGCGACGGATTGGAGCGTGACCAGCCAAGACTTCCCGCATGCTACAGGCGGACAGGTCAGGCTGGTGGTGCAGAGTTGGCGGGATCTGGGTACGGGAAGGACGCCGTTCGAGACAGGGTGGAGAGCGCATGGCGTAGGAAGCTGTGCTGAGGGTAGTGGGGCCAACACTTGTCTCGTGAGACTTACCAGCCGACCTGCGGGATCTGTCAGACTTGCGTTTGAGGCTGCGGAGGTGGAAGATGGGTCGAAAGAGGCTACTCACCCTGGGGTTGTGGCGGCTAGCAGCGCACCCAAGTCTCGCATCTATCGGTCCTTCATGAGGAGGAATACTTCTGAAGAAGGACCCGATGAGATCAGACGGTCCAGTGCAAGACCGAGGTATTGGCGGACGAGAGAAGAGAACGAAGCAGTGGCTCGGAAGTATGCTGAAGACACACGAGATCATGCGAGAGATGTTGCTGAAGAGTTGATTCGGTTAGATGCTCGTCATGGGCATGGACTTTTCTAGACGTTCTTCTGGTTTTCCAAGCTATTTAGCATTCTTTGAGTACCTGCAGCCGCTTTTCATTGTAGGAGCCTACTGGGTACACAGCGTAGGTTTAGATATAGACATTTCGGAGTTGGGCAATATACCACATACCAGGCGATATGCCTACATCATGGAAGAATCTTGACTAGAAGTAAATCTGAACGGAAAGAGGCTTGTAAAGACGGAGAATAGATCAAAGTGATGACCTAGCATCAGCTACCTATGTACATACCTAGACTTCGCCCGGGCGATGTCTCGAGGTGCGGGGGGATACGCTAGCCTTCTTGAGGTCTAGGCCTTGGACCCTTCCTGCCCACTTTGGGGGGTGTCCAACCTCCAAACACCATCGCAACCCATCTCCCTACTTACTAGATAGATGCTTCTCACTTGCGATACATGTCGGAATACGTTACGTAGGTGACAACATACGAATTGCCCAAGTCTTTGAACTTCCTAAAGACTCTGAAGTGTACCCAGGTATGCGACCAATCTATGCTTCCGGAGCCACGTATCTCACTCTCGGTTTCAAGCAGGGTGATGCAGACTCGGTACCAGCAAAGCATGTCCACTGAACTGCGCGTTTGGTGCCCCTGGGCCGTGTTGTGAGGTCACGCTGTCACGATGATTGCGGCTCAATGTGTTATACCCGGTCGCAGTATATGACAGCGCACCTGATTCGCTAAGCCCTGGAAAACTGCCGCCCACCTGGGTCGCAACCACCGAGAACCTGTGATCGTCGAATACTGGTGCGGAGTTCATATCGAGTGGCCGGAACGTATATTGCACGTTGCTGGAAGATTAGGCTGAACCTCGGACGTCATGCACAACAAACCAGCTGGGAAAACAGCATGTGCATCTTTGGCCGTGCAACGCTACTTGGAGACTTTCCATAACCCACAATTCAAACGACGCGTTGATGGTCTGTCACAAGCTTTGCTTGCCAACGACCCAGCAGGCGGACAAATTCATGGCGAACCTTGGGATGTTCCGGTCTTGGCGAGCGGGCACCCCTGACCTCAATATATCCTGCACTAGCAGTTCGACCGAGAAATCCGGTCGATGCCACTCTGCTAAGGCTCAGGGCAACTTGATTAAGCTCTGAAATCCATAGCCAATTGTGGATGAGGGTCTCGTCCCGTCTGCTCCGGAAGCTTCGTTTTGCTTGCAGGGTTCGGCGCTTCAACTCGGTACCTGCATTCCACCACGAAAGGACACCTGATGAAACTGCCTCAATGTTTCTCATGCATTTCAACACGGGGAAACATACTGGCCAGTCTCTGTCGATATCATTCGTACACCGGCATGTCAAGCAGCGCCAGTCATGGTTGTTTACTACAACAATGAGACTCGAGCAACAGAAGGAGGGGCTCAATGCAACTTACCTGACTGTATCCTTGTGCCGCTTCCAGCGAAGTACGTATTTCAGTCTTCTTTCTTCTTATTGGATTTCACGCCCAAACCGTTACCCGGGAAAAGATCTGAGCCTCATGACCTCTGCTACAGATTAAGTGTGCCCCCCAGTCCGGAAAATCTTTCTAGAAAAGTCTCTCGTATATGCCCATGGATCATGGAAAAAGCAATCTATTCCTACCGGGTTTTGAGCTCACCGGGTGGAATTGCACAAAACAACGCGATGTGGTCCTGAGCTGTACCCAAGGTACAACACACATTGGAGTATACATCGTCGCGTATCTTTTTACTGTGAAAGCCAGCATGATGTATTCTCCGGGGTGGTGTGTGCACATGCGGTTACTCGTGACCCAGCCACAATACTGTATGCAAATATCAAGAACACAGCTACGAGTGCTGATCCACAGCTTTGCCTTCTCACATACGAGGCTGACCCATCACTATCGAATGAGACGGAAGGCTAAGACTTGGCCACCAGTGAAGCCGACGGTTGATAGTACAGCTCCATATGCTTCTCCATTCGTCACTGCCTACACTATCTCTTTAAGGCAAAGATCCCGGGCGTGGTGGCGCACAGATCTCCGCAATACCCCAGACTACCCCACGATGCGGCGCAACAGGGCATGCCTCATCTATAGTTCATTACTCTGGCACTCTTAGCGTCCTTTTGCGCTCCCGATGTTCCGTTCCTCTCACAACATTGGTGAGAACAGCATGGAGGGACGTCAAGGGTGTAGATCTCCTGCACCTTGCAATAATCAACAGTCATATGGGTACTTCTGCAGAGTACTTTGATTAGTAGCGATGAGCTCAAGAATGTTGTATAAGAAGGTCAGCCCATCGCTCCAATACTTTCGACATCCAACAACATATCTTCACTCAAGAAGCCAAAATGTACAGGACACTCGCCCTCACCTCGCTCTCGCTCTTCGGAGCCGCCCGCGCTCAGCAGGCTGGCACATCGACAGCAGAGACACACCCCAAGTTGACATGGCAGACTTGCACTGGTACCGGTGGAAACAGCTGCACCACCAAGCAGGGTTCCATTACGCTCGATGCCAACTGGCGCTGGTCTCATGTCACCAGTGGATACACCAACTGCTACGACGGCAACTCTTGGAACACGACCGCTTGCCCTGACGGCAGCACCTGCACCAAGAACTGCGCTATCGACGGTGCTGACTACTCTGGTACGTGAACATGTCCACGACACAAAATGTGAAGCCCTTAGCTAACGATCTTAGGCACCTACGGTATCAAGACCAGCAGCAACTCTTTGAGCCTCCAGTTCGTCACCAAGGGTTCTTACGCTGCAAACATTGGTTCTCGCACCTACCTCATGGAGAGCGACACCAAGTACCAGATGTTCAACCTCATCGGCAAGGAGTTCACCTTCGATGTCGATGTCTCCAAGCTACCCTGCGGTCTGAACGGTGCTCTCTACTTCGTCGAGATGGCCGCCGACGGTGGCATCAACAAGGGCAACAACAAGGCCGGTGCCAAGTACGGAACCGGATACTGCGACTCGCAGTGCCCCCACGACATCAAGTTCATCAACGGTGTAGCCAACGTTGAGGGCTGGAACCCGTCCGACGCCGACCCCAACGCCGGTTCCGGCAAGATCGGTGCCTGCTGCCCCGAGATGGACATCTGGGAGGCCAACTCCATCTCCACTGCCTACACTCCCCATCCCTGCAAGGGCACTGGTCTCCAGGAGTGCACCGACGAAGTCAGCTGCGGTGACGGCGACAACCGCTACGGCGGACTTTGCGACAAGGACGGTTGCGACTTCAACAGTTACCGCATGGGTGTCAAGGACTTCTACGGCCCCGGTATGACTCTCGACACCACCAAGAAGATGACCGTCGTCACCCAGTTCATTGGCTCCGGCTCCAGCCTCTCTGACATCAAGCGCTTCTACATCCAGGGCGGAAAGGTCTTCAAGAACTCCGACTCTGCTATCGAGGGCGTCTCCGGTAACTCCATCACCGAGTCTTTCTGTGAGGCGCAGAAGACCACTTTCGGTGACACAAACTCCTTCAAGACCCTCGGTGGCCTCAACGGCATGGGTGCCTCGCTTGCTCGCGGACACGTCCTCGTCATGTCCCTCTGGGACGACCATGCGGTCAACATGCTCTGGCTCGACTCTACCTACCCTACCGATGCTAGCCCTGACAAGCTTGGTGCCGCCCGTGGTACCTGCTCTACTGACTCTGGCAAGCCTGAGGATGTTGAGGCTAACTCGCCCGGCGCTACTGTCGTCTTCTCCAACATCAAGTTTGGACCTATTGGCTCTACTTTCGCCCAGCCCGCATAAGCGCTCGATGGGGTTGTTGGATAAGATGCTGGAAAGGGACTGGAGCTTGGTACTGTAAGAGTTCGTGGATTTCTTCCGGCTTTCCTCTCGCTTAGCTTCGCAACTGTATATACTTGAGGTGGATCTAGAAGTGTGCATATAGAGACAAATTGACTGCATTCGTTATGATAGACGCATCTACTGTGAGATTCGTTTGTGTACTTCAATGACTTCTTAATCTTCGTTCGCCAAAGCCTTCACTCGCTTTTTGTAGCTCTCAAGGCTCTTGTTGCAATCCCTGATCTTGTCATGTAAGCCTTTGACCTTGCGGGCATCTTGATTCGCTGCACGAAGAAGCTTTCCATTCTCTCTTCTAAGCCTGGCAACCTCGTCATTGACTGGGACCACTGCAAACTGCAGTTCTTCGATGCCTTCTCTCAGGCTCTCTTTCTCTCGTCGCAGTATGTGCATCTCCTCGCTTGTCGCCTTGAGTGTAGCAGCATGACCGACAACCTGATGCTCCGCTGCCTGTCGAAGTTGGGTGATAGCTTGTTCATGAGTACGGGTGCGCTCAGCAAGCTCGTCCCGGAGGTGGTCGTTATCGTATTGAAGCCGCTCGTAGCCCTGAGCGAAGGCATTCAGACTGGCAAGATCCTACGTTCCTAAATTAGCATGACAAATCCATACGCGTATGGATACTCGGTACGTACAGGTATAAAGCGGTTCTGCGCACTTTCGTCGCGCGAATCGTGCATTGCCTCTTCGCGTTTGAGTGCCATGTTGTTGATGACTGATTGAGGATTTCGGCGGTATCATTCAGTGACAAGAAGAGATTGATGGATTGAGTCTCACCAGATAGTGTTGTTGATGAAATGTGATTGAGCCGAATAAGATAACCAAGAGGTGAACGCTCACATGAGCGGTGAAAGTGAGAGCATCGCTAAATTTCCGCGCACTTTTGCAGCTCACACCAGTCAGAAATGATCCAGTCAGCACTGTCATGTGTGACGATAGAAGCCACGAGTCGATGACCGATGACTAGTTACTCTACAGTCTAGGGATACCAGTTTGAGTACCGACCCCTCGTGAGCATTCTGTACTGATTCTCCACATCACGCCCTTGTTTCCATTGTTCTCGCTCCCGTCCGACTAACGCAGACAAACCCATATTCGTCGCCTGATATGTCTCGGCGAACAATGGAAAGTCGTTGCACGTAACAATTTCGATACATCCTTGAGCACCAATAACAGCATGCTTTTTCGACCTCAACACCCTGTTCACACGAATGTTCCCCGAGATGCTGTCTTCGGTGTAATGTCGCTCGTCCTGTTCAAATTTCGGGTGAAGCATGGGTAGCGTGACGGTGACGTCGAGATTGGGACGAGTACTTAGTTGTGTGAGAAGAGGATCAAGGGTCGAGCGCTCGTTGACCACGACCCAGAATTGCGGCTCATTATGATCGAGCCACAATTCCAGCTTCTTGAGAGCTTCGAAACGACCGAGAATGGAGCCCAAATGTTGCCAAAGACGTGCTGGCTGCGTTGCTGGACCTATGTCTGAGGATGTAGGATCGCTGCCTGAAAGTCGCTCCGCTGACTGGAAGAAAGCTAACGGAAGCTTGAGCGTGATACTCAGACGGCTAACATTCGATACTGGCATCTTCGCGAATTCGGAAGCGACTGGCATCGTTATCTCCGAAGCTCTTGCCCAGTAATTGATGAGGTCCAGGTCGGAGACATGGATAGTCGAAGTACGAGCAAGGAGATCGTACACTTCATTACGACTAGTGGCGTGAGCGCTTGACACGAAGCCTTCCAATGTACTTACACGCCCGGGAAAATGTTCAGAAGATCGGGAATGTCCGTACATTCAGTCAACAAGAAGTGTGACAACGAGGTGTGCTCCTCGCACGACCAGTGCAGACCCCAGGTTGACTGTAGACGACGGGCATACACAGACGTGGGCACGCGAACTTGCCAAGTTTCGTCGGTATATTCAATGTCGTAACTAGATACATCGCCACGGAAAGGGGCACCGCCCTGAATACACGCCGATGCAAGAAGCGTGCCATTACGGAGGCGTACGTGGACGTCGTTGGGCAGCAGGTATGAATAAATCTGGAGCCGGAGTTCTGTAGGTAGGCGTAACAATGCGCTTTGGCTTTGCGGCATCCTGGCGGGAGAGATCTGAGTAGTGAGTCTGGCGTAATGGAGGACGGTAGTGATGGCTTATAGGTGCGAAGATTGTGACGTGCCCTCCTGTGAGCTGCGGCACAGCGATGGCTAACCCGAAGCAGCTAGTGTTGGCCTGGGGGAAGGAAGGAGTGCCCCAGGGCATTTCTCCATCCCCAAGGAAGATAGGTTCTTGGAAGAACATCCTCACGTATTGGCCGAAGTGAGAATGCTTCATATACGCGGACCTCAGCAGCCTCTACGATTCGACAGACATCTTCTACCGCCTGCACATAGACCAAGATCCCGCAAGATCGTCAGCATCACACCACACACCCGTGGACATACCAATCACAAACATCCATAACAAAAAAATACAATTGCCTACCCTCGGATACTCAGCCATCATCGCATAGTCTATCGAGCGTCTAGCCCATCCAGATCCAAGCTCACAAAAGAAAAAGGTGTCGCATCCTCGTCCCCCACTAGCATATATACAGTTTCCGTGGTGTTGCTGTAAGACTTCCACCCCATGTCTAGGGTCTTGTTGACTTGCTCAAGGTGTCGTTTACTCCTTCTTGACGGTGTCTGGGTCTGCGAGGATACCCTCGGCTTCGAGTCTTCGTCGCGCCTCCTCTAGGGCCCAGGTTTGGATGCTGGTGGACTGTTAGTCTCTGCTCGATGAATGCATTGCCGTTGCTCTCTTCCAGTCATTTCTTCGGGAGCTGTTTCCATCGCCCATTCATGACCCCTCCCGCCTAATCCACCTCTTCACCCATCCCGCACCATCCCCGTCCATCTCCCTCTAACACAAAATTCGCACATACCTAGTATCCGGCTTGAAAGCGTAAGCCACAACGCCAAACGCACACGCTCCACCAAAACCCCAGTACATAGCGTTCTCCCACCCCTCCTTCTCATACTGCTCGCCGGGCTTGACGCCAAAGAGCCATCCAGATGGGGGATCGTAGCTGGGTCCGTGACCTGAGCGCTTCGTTTGTGACTGTGAGAAGGCTCGGCGGGGAGCTGCTGTGCGAGCCGAAGCGGTGAGGGCGGTGCGCGAGGCGCTGGTCGCGGCGCGGACGGAGTTCATGGTGGTATGCAGGCGAGCGGATCGAGGGCTGAGGTGGACGTAGAGTGGGTTGGTTTAGTCCCGGCGTAAGGGGCAGCGGGTTGTGATGGGGGCTGATAGGTGCTTGTTGTCTTGATGTTAAGGTGAGGTTCCGCGTTCCCTGTGATTGCTTGGCGTGGCGGCGGCTAGTGGCGCCGGAGCGAAGGAGCAATGGGACGTGGAACTGCTCCAGGGCTCACAGGAATTCTTGTCAAAAGTTAAATGGCAACAAGCAGAGCACGTTTCGTAGGGAGACTACAGAGTTACTGTGATGTAGAAATGTAACATTTCTCTCAAAATGATGACTATGTAGTGTACCATCAGTACCTAGGTAACTGATTTGTGGTATAAGAGCCCGTAACGCCAGTGCTATGCAGATAAACCATTTGAACGCAGAATAATCAAAGCATGCCTAGGCATAAGCAGGTGTACGCTTCTCCTCCTCAGGATCTTCCATCTCATCATCCGGCTGATGAAAAGACATCCTCGCCATACTCTGAGACGCCTCATCGACCTGTTTCTCCGTTCTGCCCGCGTCAACAACCTCCCTCTGCCGTTGCTCCTCGTCTGTAGCTTCCTTCTCCTTGCGCTTCTTCTCTACAGCCTCAAGCTCCGCCAGTCTTGCAGCGGTCCTCTCGGCCTCTTCCTTCTCGCGCTTCTCGCGATCCGCCTTCTCAAGTGCTTCGAACTCGTCGTCAATCTCGTCCTCATCAAGAGGCTGGTCGGTCTCATTGATGATGTTCGTGATTTCTTCCGTGGTCGCCATTTGTTCGTTGACGGCATCGACGACACCCTGAACGCCTTCTGCACCGCCAACTTTCTCATTGAGACCTTTGAGGGCCGCTGCACCAGCCCGCATAGCCTCCACGATCTCGACCTGATCAGCGGCTTGTTGTAGATCGGTGTAGACTTGCTCGAGCTGGAGGGCGACATCGGAACGTTGAGCGAGAGCGTTTTCGGCAAGCTTCTTGGAACGCAGTGCAGCTTTCGCGCGGACCATCTGCTTCGCAACTACGGCTTCCCGTGCGGCCGCATCGGCCAAAGTAATCTTCTCCATCAATGGGGGTATTTGCGCATTGATATTCGCTAGTGTGTCGCGAAGATTGGCAATAGCGGCGTCTTCTTCTGTGACAGGCAGGGGGACAGCCTCATGTTCTGGCTTGAACTTGATCGTCTGATCATTGTGAGATATCGCTTGCTTGTCTCGGGCGAGAAATACGAGGAGTATATCGAGGTCGTTCGTCGTAAGTGGTGCAGTCGGATTTAGTATAGTCGCGAAACGTTTCAAGAAGTCTGTCTTCGATAGTACCCGGTCAGCCGTGGATAGGTGCTCCTTCATCTTCTTGAGTATCTCGTCCGCAGCAACTTCGACATTCTTGATGACGACGAAGTTCCCCACCTCCATCTTGGCCGGCGCCCGTACCTGCCCCAGTACCCCAACCTGCCGCAAGCTCCACTGAAGCACCTGCCATGGCGAGGGTATCCACGATGTCTTGTATATGCTCTCTTTCGACGACATGAAGTCCCTCAAAGGTACCATCTCCTTCTTTTGCACTGCTTCATGGAAGACAGCCGGTAGACACGTGGGCTTGCCATATTGCGGGTGCTGTAGGGCTCGCGCGAGCTCCTCGGCGGCTCGTATGTTCAGGAGATCGTGGGTGGTGCCCTGCCTCGGGATGACGCCCGCCCGCGAAGCATCGATGAGGGCCTTTGTCCATGCGGCGATGTTGGCATGGTAGCCTTCGGGGTTTATCTCGAGCTGCTGCCGAAAGTCTGAATAGAGCGATGCAAGGCGATGCTGGCTGTGCTAGTCAGCAATGCAGCCCTGGAGGGTGTCGCCGATATATGGGTGGACTCACTTCTTGAAGGCATCTTCATGTTGCAGGACGAAATCTAGCAGTTCACTCATGTCGCGCTCTGGCTCGGGTACCCACTGCGCCCTGTTGTGCTGGGAACGGAAGAGCGAGCGCTTCCGCTTATGACGACTAAGCGTGGGGTCGCTGCTAAAGATGGAGACGTGGGGGCCGCCGCTGGGGACCAGGTCGCGCGAGGGCTTGCGTTTAAGCATGTGCGCAGTCAAAAACAGCCAAGGGAGCAATACGATGACATTAGACGGTATCGATTAGGGTCTAGTGCACGGCTGGATTCTATACAATAGTCGACTATCGAGCCGTGCGGGCGCGTGCATGTTTGCTCACGCGACGCGTTGTTTCAAGATCTAAACTTGGACTAAGTGCCTGGCCTTCCTTCACGGTGGTTGCGCGCAACTCCTCGGCTCAAGCCATTCCCTGTACTTCAAGCGGTGCTCCCATTCCCAACCTTGCTAGATTCCTACAAGCTTGCAAATCGCCATGACGCTTAGATCGTCACTCTATGTAGATAGGATCTGTAGCCATACAGTCCCTGTCGTGAAAGCTCACAAAAAGCTGATATCGCTACTATAGCGTTAGAGAGCACGCTGAACAGGCGTGCGGTTGTTGCGCTGCCTACGGGTCC